CCAACCACTTTCCCGCCCCCATAAAAAGTGAAGTCTCAAACATTCTCAGATGTTGTGCATGCACACTGTACTTACCTACGTACCCCCTTATAAAATTAAGACTCGAGTTCTTCCCATTATGTAACTGTGAGCAATCTTGAGCATTACATTGGAACTTAAGTTCCAAGAACAAGAATATATATATATATATAATATGTGTGTGTGTGTGTATGTATATATGTTTGTGTGTGTGTGTGTATATATATGTCTGTATATGTTTTAAGCTGAAAGTCATTCTGACGACATTTTTGAAAATGAATGTTCCAGCGGTCCCCAACCCCCGCTCCGTGGGTCATTTGGTACCGGGCCGCACAGAAAGAATAAATAACTTACATTATTTCCGTTTTATTTATGATCTGGATCTGAAAAATGAGCGGATTCTCTCCGTTACATCCTTCTACGACTCACTCTTGACGCACGTCAAGACGCTTGTCTCGGTCACGTGATACGTTGAACCCTTACCATAGAGGCCAGAGAGCGTTAGGTGGGAGAGAGGATGTTACGAGGACGCTGCTAATAAAGTTACGATTTCACATTGGATTCACGTTTATTATTAGATTTTTAAAAATACCCCAGTTTTTATGCCGGTCATATCATTTTATTTGTTTGTATTTATCCGCCACACCTTAAAGGCCGGTCCGTGAAAATATTGTCTGATATTAAACAGCAAAAAAGGCGCAAAAAAGGTTGGGGACCGCTGCTTTAAGAGATGCACATTAGGAGCGTCAGCGCTATTATGCTGCGTCTGGAAAGTCCATGTTAAAGGCATTTAGTATAGGCGTTAAAATTCCCGCTGTACTCTGAATATTGTTTGTGCCCCATACGTGAAGTAAAAAATTTCGTTTCGAGCACTAATCAGGCGCAGGGCAGATATGGATATGGAAGGTTCATTAGATAGTTCTTCTTCACAAATCCTCTTTCGTACACAGATGCTCAACTGCTGCATCGAGCACAAGAAAGCGAGGGACGACATCCGGAAAGACGCGGCCGGTGAAAACGGACTCCCGGTGCCTCCGGCGTCATCGGGGAAGTCCTGGGACTCGTGGAGCGACAGCGAGGACGAGTTCTTTGAGTGTCTGAGCGATGCAGAAGATATGAAAGAGGTGCCGGCGGACGGAGTTAAAGGAGCAGGAGCCAAAATAAAGCCTGAGGGTCGACTGCAGCCTCATGGCAAGCTGACCTTGCTCAGCTCACTCGAGCCACTCTATATACCAGTCACGCAGGTGAGTCAGGTAGACGTAAGGTCAACATTTACTGTGTTATTGACTTCCCCTCATGTCCCCCAACTAAGCAGAGGAGGTATAGTTTTGGCACTTTAGCAGCAAGCATGACATATTTGACAGAATGCCCTAGGTGATCTGCAGTGTCCATTTTAGATTAAAAAAAAAAAGTTCAGTATTTATTTATTTATTTATTTAATCGTGATGAAACTTCTTTACTCATCATTGTACGCCCACTTTGCGATTATATAAATGCGCTGCTTCTAGCCTTATATACCGTACACGACGATCCTGAGATCATCGGTTAAGAGCCGGTAGGTCATGTGGGAGAGAAATTGGAATACAGCACAAGTCGAGGCGGAGATCTGATCTGCTGTAAAGTCGGAAAAAATAAAACAGATCTTGCTATCAAGTACATAAATGTTTTATTTCTCTGAAGTGCGAAATAACTACCAAAACTTTTTGGCCCCTTTTTTAAAAAATGTTGGTTTTTTTTTGGTAAAATACAAGGTGTATTAATCTCAATCTCATGGTGTGTTCAAGTCGGAAAGATTGTATTTGAACAAGTTGAACGCACACGAACGCCACTAGAGTCGTAATTACTAGTGCGAATTTTCTTAGCGCTCCGAGTTTCCGTGCTGGGGGCGTGTGAGTAAGAGAACATGATCGAGGAAAAGAGAGAGAGAGATAACAAAAGTAAAATATAAGCCAGCAGGGATCTGTCTTTGTCAGGCATTTTAATTTACAATAAAACAAGCTAATCGCCGGCACAAAATATGACCATGTTGTACAATTACGACATAATATGTAACGATAAAGTTTACAGTGGCTTCATAAACCGATTAAAAAAAAACGTTTAAAGCGAAATGCACCTCATGTGCATTCTTTTTCATTTTCTAGAAGTCGAGTTGCTTTATGTATTTATTTATTTATTTATTTATTTTGTAGTTAATTAAGAGAAGGTACACCGCCATCTTGCTCCGACCAAAGTGACTTGAAAGCACCTGACGTCATAAGTACGACTTCCAAGGGGAGTTGGGAAGAGTCAGTGCCCAAAAAAAAAAAAAAGACATTTCGGTCAACTCGTTCATAAATGGGACGGGACTCTCAACGGCGCACTTGAATTCGCGTAAATATCATTTTTGACATTGTGTCCGTTCTAGGAGTGCGTCTCCGAGGACAGACCAAAGGGCTTGAAAATTCTAGCATGCTGGCGGATTTTAAATGTCACGATATGTTGCAAAACTCCACGTACTTCAGCTCAGGGGTTTATTACAATGTGAATTAGGGGGTTTGTTGGTTAATTTATACATCAATGTCCTTCTAAATATACGCAGAGCCATAATGGTGCACTGTTGAGCTAGTGTGCTGATTCGCTGAACGTATGTGTGACTGTGACGTACATTTTTGATTATCTGTACATTGTAAGTTCAATTTTATGTGCTGCTGTTTAGGGGGGAGAGAACGCGAGATCAGTGATGTGGTCCAGTTCTCAAAATGAGGCCTGGGAGGTATAGCTTCAGTATAGTTACAGTGTTATAATTATATTAATGATTGAGGTTGTATAGTTATTCACTTTTTTGTTGTTGTTTTTTGCAGGAATTTGTTTTGGGGGAGGGGACCTCTACGGTTTTAATGGAAATGTCGGCGTTGGAATAAGCAGGGGAAATAATTGAATGGGGGTTATGTTCGTTAAACAAATCGGTGCTGAAGAGGGTCCGTGGAATTGCTTTTCAAGTTAAAAAAGTCTGTTGTTTTTTGTCTTTGAGAACCCCTGCTTTAGCCTACAGAGTATTGAAAGTGGTGTTTGAGAAGGCAGCTGGGTTTCTGCCAAGAGAAAAAAAAAATCTTCAGCGTGTTAAAAACGGTTTAGCATGCAGGGCAAGACTATTTTCTCTTTCTTTTCTTTCTTTTTTTTTTTTTTCCTTCAGCTAAGCTTGATCATAATCCTGTACTCTTACAACCTATAAGGGTGTTTCATCCATCTTCAATAAAACCAAATGATATTTCCCAATGCGTCGTTCTTCACTAATATAAGAACATTTGCACTTATTGGCTTTTATTCGTAGAGCTCTTTTAACAGTGGGCATTGCCACGAAGCAGCTTTACATTCAGGGTCTACTTTTATTTTTCTTCAATGAAAAAAATCGAATTTGAACGGCAAGGGGAAAAACTCCCGGAGACGACACGACACGAGGGGGAAAAAACCTTGAGAAGAAGCAGACTCGAAAGGGAACCCATCCTTATAATTCCCTTCTATAACTGTCTACACTTTTCATTAAGTGTAACTGTGTGAAATTCGTCACAGTTTTCACAGGAAGTCCTGTGAACGCACACACACATGCATCCTAGTGGTGTTCTCGTCGTCGTTGTGTGTACGGTATGTGTGCATGTGTTACCGTTTAAATGACATTTCGTCAGGACGGTACAGTGTATTTTACTCTATACATTATAGATTTCAGTTTCACACTGTTTTTTTTCTTTAGTTTTTTCCTGAATAATAAATATCAACCGGGTCATTGGATCTTGTTTTATCATATTATATATTATCATAGTTCTTGTTGTAATATGCAACAGCCTACAGATGTCTTGGCTCTTTTTTTTTTTTTTCCTTTTTCTTTTCGTTTATTTATTTTAGTTTTTGTTTGCTTTTGAACATCTGCTCAGATACACAGTCGCTGGCCCTGCCAGGCTCCAACTCGAGGAAGAGTTCGATCAAAACGATGGCACGATGACGTAAATGAGCTCTAGCGCAGCATGTAAAAAAAAAACAGAGTCTTCTGCACTTAATCAGCATGCAAAAGTAGGGCACAGATGGGTAACTGTAGTTTTTGCCAGCACCTCGTGGCCGTTTTCACAGCTCAGAATATAATATCGAGCCCTGAATTGTGAAGCGTCACAAAAATATTCTGCTGGAAAAAGTCTTTGGACATGCAAGCTGCACAATCCAGCATCTGCACACACACACACACACACACACACACACACACACACACGGTCGGACAAGTCCAACCACATGATATCGCCTCAGGGCCTTTAGGGCTACTGTTTTTTTATTTATTTATTATTTTTTATTTTTTCCTTGAACCTCACCTGTCTGCATCTGGCTGCTTTTTTTGAACGCATCCGAGAAAGGAGGAGAAAAGAAAAGAGGAGGAAAAAGTGTCGGTGTATTTTTATTTATTTATTTAATTTTTAATTATTGGTTTGTTTCATTTTAGATGCAGCAATCTTCCATGCAGATTCTCACAGCTGTAGTACATCCTTTTTATTTCTTTATTTACTTATTTTCCTCGGCTCGCTTTTTTTTCCGTCTGCGTCTTGTTTGCCGTCTGTCATACTTCTGCCTATTCCCTCGCTCTCACTCTACCTCTCTCTCATTATTGCTATAATTTCCTCTCACTCACTCCCTCAACACCCTTTCTCTTTTCCCCCGGCTCCCCCTTTATTAGATCTGAAGCGCGTCCCCTTTTCCTTTAATAATCTCTCATTTCGCTTTGCTTTTAAGGCCCTCCGCTCATCTCATTGCCTCATATTTGTCAATGTCGCGTGCGTTCCGGCGCACCGCCGTTGATTTGTCTCCTGTTTTCGTTTCCGTCTTTTCCTTTGCTCCGAGTGGTGAAAGAGAGAATATGAACGCAGACAAATATTTAAACTAAATAGGATTTATCCGTAATTTCCTTTTCTCCACCTTTCAACTTGTTTTAAATTTTATTTTCAAAAGTTCTTCCTGGGATGTTGGGCACGGTGGTTTACTTGCTTAGCACGTTGGCCTCGCACCTCCAGTGTTGGGGGTTCGACTCCCACCTCTGTCCTGTGTGCGCTGAGTTTGCATGTTCTCCTCGTACTTTGGGGGTTTCCTCCGGGTAGTCCGGTTTCCTCCCCCAGTCCAAAGACATGCGTTGTAGACTGATTTCCAAATTGTCCATAGTACATGTGTGTGATTGTGCCCTGCGATGGGTTGGCACCCGGTCCCGAGTTCCCTGGGATAGGCTCCAGGCTTCCCGCAACCCTGTGTATGATAAGCGTTACAGAAAATGGATAGAAAGTTCCTTCTTACCTTTTAGTATGGTAAGACATACAGTGCAAGACATATGCAAGACATACAGTGTAAAGGTGGCTGCTTGTGCCATGCTATTGTTCAATGTACCCACTCAAGGGCTAGACCAGCCATATCAGACTGTGCTTTTTATTTTGTTCCATTTCTCAATGGTTTTTATGCATGCAATATTTGTCAGAGAGCTTGCATGTTGCCCTGATTCATTAAGTCACACTCCCTGGTGTGTCCTTCGTGTATTCTGGGCTCAGACTGCATTGTATATCTGCATTCACAAACGGAGCCATTCATGACCAAACAGCTAAATTACCACTGACATTCAGCAAACCCCATTTGGACTGATTGGCATTATACAACTGCATTAACGTGATGTAATGGTCCACTTGGTGAAGGTGGGGATACAGGCTAGCATGCTGAGGTTAGTGTAATGTACAGCCCTTTTTTTTTTAATATATGCCAATTATTGTGAAAAAGCTTGAATCAAATGCATATACCAGCCTATATGATCTCAAAGGAAGTGACCCTTAAACAAATATTTGTGTTGGGGTACATCAAATGAACACCTTTTAAAAGAGACACTACAAGTTTTTCAGGATGTTAACTACTGCTGGTAAGCTTAGAGCACTTGGTGAGGCATGCTTGTAAAAGATACAGGTCTAAAGTTCAAAGAAACAGTTGAAAAATGCTATGGTTATTGCACTTGCTGAGAGAGCCATTCTTGTGAAAATGCAAGTATTTGCAATAGACAGTGTAGAGTGAAACATGGAGTGAGGAATCAAGTAAAGATGGGGTGAAGAAAAGAGTGAGGAGTTGAATGAGAAACTGAGTGGAGTGACGTATACGAATGGGGTGAAGAATGGAGTGAGGAATGTAATGAAAAATAGGGTGAAGAAAGGATTGAGGAATGGGTTGCTGAATGCGGTTAGGAGTGGTGTGAGGAATTGGGGGGGAAAGAATGGATTGAAGTATAGATTGAGGAATGGGTAGCAGAATGGGGTGAGAAATTGGGTGAAGAATGGGGTGAGGAATGAGATATAGGGTGCAGAATGCGGTGAGGAATAGAATGAGAAATTGGGTGAGGATTTGGGTGAGGAATTAGGTGAATGGAGTGAAGAATGGAGTGAAGTATACGAATGGGGTGAGAAATGAGAAATAGGGTCAAGAATGGAGTGAGAAGAGAAATGAAATGAAGTATAGAGTGAAGAATGGGGTGAGGAATAGAATGAGGAGTGGGGTGAGGAGTGAGGAAATGGAGTGAAGTATAGAGTGAGGAATGGGTTGCAGGATGAGGTTTGGGGTGAAGAATGGGGTGAGAAATGAGAAACAGGATGAAGAATGGAGTGAGAAATGGAATGAAGTATAGAGTGAAGAATGGGGTCAGGAATAGAATGAGCAATTGGGTGAAGAATGGATATGAAAAATTCCCCATGTCAACAATTGTATGTTTTTTCTAAGTATGCTAAGTAACAACATGTATTTAAAATGTAAATTATTTATAGTTTATTATCTTAGATTAATGTTGTTCATCCCCCATACAGGTCCATGTAAATGAGTTATTACTATAGAAACAACAATAATCTATTGGAATTAATTTAAACCTTTCATTTGATTTACAGCCAGAACTGCTGTCAGAGCTGCAGTAGAACATAGACCATTAATCAACCTTCTGTCCTGCCAGATTTGAGAACTACATTTAAAGATATCATTCCAGATCCAATGAACAGTCCTACATTTAGAACCTAATCTGCTTATAGAAAAATGAGATTACTGCCAAATTTAAATGATACATTTTCAATAGGACACGCGTTATTGATTTGATGCGACTGAGAATGGCATGAATGATGCCGATAATCAAAGTACATTCCCGGAGCCGCATACTCTGTGGAAAGCGCTATCCACCCTCTTCCGCATACGTGACTGCACTGATGCCCACGATTGGCTAGTATCACTGTGATTGACAAGGGAGTGAGAGTATGCTATCTGTCCCACCCAAAGAGCACAGCTGAGTTTAAGACCAAACCCCAGAGATACTCTAGTAATAATACATTACCCCCACCTCCCTATAAAGGGCTTCCGACATCCTTGTGAAAAAGAAATACCTGTAACAGGCTGTTGTTAAATGGCTCTCCTGCCTCGTTTGCGTGCTAAAATATTAGATCATTTTGGGGTTTTGGTTGCTGGTGAGACTGCGAGAGTTCATGATGTCTGGTTTTGTTCCAGTCTTCCCGTAATGCACTTGTTAGTGAGGCTCAGGGGTCATTAGTGGGCCGAAGGCTTGAGTCTGGAGGTTTCGACTGCTGAGGGACGGCTGAACACACTAATGAATCTGTAAAGCTGTCAGCTGTCTTCAGCTCCGGATCTGATGACTGACAGTCCAATCAAGTGTTCAGCTGAGCAGATTTTTCTACCTAGAGAAACAAGTCCTATCGTGTGACCTTGGAGGCCTGGCTCTCTCCAGGATTGTCCGACTGACAAGTTTTGCAGGAAGTTGTACAAGTTATTTTTGTTAGTCCTTAAACTGAGCTGTTAACGATATCACAGTGGAATTGTTCGTGTTGCTCAACTTGTTGGGTTTTCCTTTCCCAGGAGCCAGCGCCCATGACCGAAGACGCACTGGAGGAACAGTCAGAGGTGTTGGCTAAATTGGGCACGTCGGCTGAGGGCGCCCATCTCCGTGCGCGCATGCAGAGCGCCTGCCTGCTCTCAGACATGGAGTCCTTCAAGGTAAGAATACGGGAGTACACGTAACTTCTGTAATTCGGTGTAAATTCAGTTATGTTTGAAGATATTCTGAGGTTAACCTCAATTGTCTACAGCACACGCACGTTAAACGCTCAGAGTTAGGTGGCAGTAATGCTTCTTGCCACTTACTCAGAGTTTTCAATAAATCTTGAAATACCCTGAAGGGAGAGAGATGAAGTAGGGGAGTTTTCAGGTTCATTACAACCCATGCAAAGTATACCGCTGAATGAGATATTCTTGCGAAAACCAAGAGCCTACATTACATTTGGCCAGAAGTTGGTTTCTTATGATTGATATACAGTAATGCTTGACAAAATACCAGAATGAGTACGTATTTTTAGTACCAATTCTCGAACTAAAATGAGTAGACTACTTGGAATTAAGCAAACGGAGATGTTTTTGTGGAAACAGTGATGCTGTGAAGTGTGAAGATGGTTCTAGAGTTGAACTTCTTTGCTGAGAGTTATTTTCAAAATGATATGGCGCTTAGACCCGGCGACCTTTATGCATTTCGCATAGGAAGTCCGTGTTTTAACCTGCTGTGCTATTTCGCGCGTCGTCTTACGTGGTGTGCGAAAATACGCAAAAAGAGCACTCTTGGTGGTCCCAGCCCCCCCACCCCCACAGGGGAATCTGGACTGACGTTAGTCGTGTGTTTTTATCTCCTCTCGATTAAATATTGAGTTCACTAATGTGAAGTAAAATCTATCGATATGTTTGACTTGGCTAATGTTCGTATATATTTAACATGAGTCAACGATATTTATGAAGCACGCCAAAAAAAAAACATCAAGAGGAAATCATGAAAACGGCACTCTTCTGCGATGAAAGGGGGAAATTTATTGACCAAAAGATAAAACATTTAAATACGCTTACAATGAAGTGTGACACAGTTTGCTTTTCTGCACGTCCATGTTCAATTCAATTCAATGAAATTGTATTTGTAGAGCGCTTTTAACGATGGACGTTGTCTCAAAGCAGCTTTACTGAAACGTACAAACACGGTACAGATTTTAAGTGTGTGAATTTATCCCTATTGAGCGAGCCTGGTGGTGACTGTGGCGAAGAAAAACTCCCTAAGATGATATGAGGAAGAAACCTTGAGAGGAACCAGACTCAGAAGGGAACCCGTCCTCATCTGGGTAACAATGGATAGTGTGAAGGTTCATTATGGTTTATACATGAAGTCTGTTTGTGTAACTCGTCCACTGGTCACTAAAGGAGAACTGAGTGGAAAAACTATGTGGTAATTGCAGTCCTAAGGCCATAGCAGCAACCGTAGTCCCAGCAACCACAGCGAGAATGTCCATGTGGAATTGAGGTCCAAAACCATTTCCATGGTACTTCAAGCGGTACCGTCCTAATCAATCTCCAGGCTGTAGCCTCCAGTTGATGAGAGCGCCATCCAGAGGTAGGGTATCATGTTCAGACAGCATGGTCAAGTCAACTAATATTAGGAAATTCAACTAATATTTCTCTTTATTAGATGTCTGGTCTTTCTGACTCCTGGAAGAGTTTTGTGTAAAAGGCTATATTGAAAGTGTTCCACCCTCTCGTCAGGACCACTCATTGTTCCACTTAAGGCATTGGTTCTCAACGTGTGGAGTCGGAAGGGGACGCAAATTGTTTTCAAAACAGGGCATCATTCGGGTACTCATTATTTTATTGCTTTTAAAATAGAATGTGTGTAAATGGAAAACCCAGCGTTCCCCTCTGTGTTTTCTTTTTGCTGGGGAGAGGCGGAGCTTAGCCTGCTTTTTAATCTAACAGTCAGTGCAGACTAGTGTTGCCAACTTAGCGACTTTTAAGACCGCTTTTGTCACTTTTTTTTTTTTCCGAGCATCAAATCGAGCGACTTTTTGGACAAACCTTAGCGACTTTCCAAGTGAGGCCAGTTCTGTCCTGCAAGAGCGAGGCCTTGCTTTCCCGCTGCACTCGCACCTCTCTCTGCGTCTGCTCTGTTCAGTGAAGGGCTGAGAGCTGGTGATTTAACAATGTCTTGGGTAACGAGACGTG